TTCTGTGTGAATGGTTATGTGGATGAGATTGCATGATTGATTTCTTTTTCAGAAAGTTTATTATTGGTGTGTAAAATTAGTGATTTTTGTTTTTCTATCCTGCAACTTTACTGAATTTGGTGATTTTCATTTGTTGATTTAATATCCTGCAACTTTACTGAATTTGCTAATCAGTTTTAATAGTTTCTTGGTGGAGTCTCTAGGTTTTATGTTTATGAAGCTATAATTATCCTTTTTTTTAAGTGTTTACTAAATTATGTCACCTTAGAGAATTACTCTTCATCTAACATTTTGTTTCCGCAGAAATATTTGGTACTAAAATATTCCCTATGATATATTGTTTTCTGTCTCATTATGTACATTAGCCAATACTTGCTAGGATTCTGAAATTTATATCTTTATATGACAGAAGACGATCGTAGATTATTTTGGTTAAATAGCATATTTTAAAAACTATTTCCGGGACTGGCACCATGGTGCAGTAGGTTAATCCTTTACCTGCAGCATCCCATATGGGCATCTCATATGGGTGCTGGTTCTAGTCCTGGGTGCTGCTCTTCCAATCCAGCTCTCTGCTGTGGCCCTTGGAAGGCAGTGGAAGATGGCCGAAGTGCTTGTCCCCTGCACCCATGTTGGAGACCAGGAAGAAGTACCTGGCTCCTGGCTCCTGGCTTTGGATCGGTGTAGCTCCGGCAGTTGTGGCCATTTGGGGAGTGAACCAATGGAAGGAAGACCTTTCTCTCTGTTTCTCCCTCTCACTGTAACTCTTTCAAATAAATAAATAATAAAAATCTTGAAAAAATACTTTCATATATTTATATCTGTTCTTAACTTTAAGTTCATTATGTTAGCCTTAATTTGACCAAAACAAACATTTTGTTACAGTACATCTTTTGTTTAAAGGAAACTGTTTATATTGGTTGTTCAGGGAATCAATTTTTTAAAGATCGTTTTTTACCTATTAAAATTTTATATTGTACTGGGGTACCAAAGCATGTGGTTATGTGAACATTTTTGATTATTACTTTTAATATTGATACCTACATAATAATAAACTTCATCTTGTAAACTTCTTACACCCAGTAATTCATATTCAAAAGCAGCTAGAGTTTATTTAAATAACACAGCATTTTATTTTTAAAGATTTTATTTATTTATTTGAGAGGTAGAGTTGCAGACAGTGAGATGGAGAGACAGAGAGAAAGGTCTTCCTTCTGCTGGTTCACTCCTCAAATGGCATCAACGGCTGGAGCTGCAGGGATCTGAAGCCAGGAGCCAGGAGCTTCCTCGGGGTCTCCCATGTGGGTGCAGGGGCCCAAGGACTTGGGCCATCTTCTACTGCTTTCCCAGGCCACAGCAGAAAGCTGGATTGGAAGAGGAGCAGCTGGGACTAGAACTGGCACCCAGTGGGATGCCAGCGCTTTAGGCTAGGGCTTTAACCTGCTGTGCCACAGTGCTGGCCCCAACACATTTTAACAGGATGTACATCTTCAATGTGTAATGTGCTTTGATGCCTCACCTCATTTCTTTAGAGAAGTTATGATATTCCCCTAAGGGATGATATTCTGATGGCACTATTTAAAAGCCTGGATGGTGTGACAGCCTCCTTTCAAACAATCTTTCAGTGTGTTTTTAAAATAGATTAAGAAAACATTCTTTCTAAATGTCAAGACTAATTGAATCCCTTTTCCTATAACATTCAATAGCTATTAAGTATGCTTTCTTTCCATATCCCTGGTGTCATTCCTTCCCTTACCACTTACATCCAGAGACTCGTCTGGCTCTTCACTTGAGAGCCCTGTCCAGCCCCTGGTGCAATAAGAATCTGCATTTTCTTTCAAAATATAGACCAGTCTTCCTCTGTCATTTGTATCAACAGGCATGCCATAATCACAATGGGATATCTGACTTTTGAAAAAGGCAAGAAATAGGCATGGGAGGATATTCTATTTCAGTGTTTTCCATTCCTAATATGTGGAAAACTTTTAAATAAAATACCTTCCTTGCTACAGGAGAAAACAGTGCACAAGAAGGCAGGAGAATATAATTTCTTTTGAAAGGCAAGAGAGGCAAGAAGGAAAAGCTTGACCATAGTAGCAGGTAATGGCAGAAAAAATAAGCTGAGACGTCTCATATCCATGGTTGGGAAAGAACCCATTTCCACTTGCACTGTGCATACGCACACATTTCTGTCCTCTTCAAAAGTGGCTGTGGGAAGTATTCCCAGTGGTTTCCTGCTCCACAAGCATCTGCCTCTTCCACGCTGTCAAGGAGACTGCCGGAGTTGATATCCTGATTGTTGGATGCATGTTGCTAGGGAGATTAAAAGCTCTGTACTCTAGAGACTGATTATGTTTTAAACAAGGTTTTGAGGACTATGCTAAGAGCAAAAGTCATAGAATTTTTCCAAAATCAAGTGAAAACCTAGCCCAAAGAGTTGGCATATAACCAGACTTGTGCTTATGTCATAAACAGGGATAGAAACAGGCTATGCATATTTGAGAAGATGCTGCTAAGTGTTTTACTTGTTTTTAAACAAATAGCCAGATGTATTTGACCCAAGAGTTTAAGGTGATTTCCCACAGTTATTGTTTAATGAAGGTGAAACATTCATCCTTTTGGATGTCTTGCCCGTTCCTAGAAGAATTGAAAGGTGAGAAGCAGTTACTGATCTTGGCATTCTCCAGTGTAGTAGTTAAACTCGTGAACACTGACCATCTTCGATGAAAATACCCTCACTAAAATTGGGATGTTTTGCGGGATTGGTGTAGATAGATTGAAAATGTGAGGGAAGAAACTCAGCTAAAAGATAAGTCCTTTTCCATAGGATAGAAAACTGCTTATGTCACAGAACAGAGACTCTCAACCAGATGTAAGTTTTCTCTTCAGGGCATATTTGACAATATCTAGAAATATTTTTGATGGGTATGACTGGTTTTGCTAGGAGAGGAACTATTTTTATCTAGTGCATAGGTAGTATAAGCATCTTGTAATGAATAAGACAGCCCTTCCTCTCCCCACCCCAAGAAAAGAATTATCTGATTCGAAACATTAATAGTGCCAAGACTTGGAAAGGCTACCGTAGAGAAACGAAATATCATGACCATGGTAGTATGGTACCAAGCTTGAATAAATACAGAGTGAAAGTGAAGTGGTGGAGTAGGATATTCCATGCAGTTACAACTGAAAAGAAAATGACAGTAGCTATACTTCTATCAGATAAAATAGATTTTAAATCAGAATTAGCAAAATGAGACCATGAAGGTCACTAAATGATGATAAACGGCTCAGTCCAGCAGAAGGAAACCTGTCAAGTGTCTCAGTTTCACTCTACTTCCAAACTAGAAAGTTAGCCGCCACCACGTCATTTACAGGAGCAAAAGACATGAGACCCCTGGATCAGGGACAAAGGAATCTATGTATGGGGGATATTAAGGGATATTCCTTATAAAGAGAAAGGTGTAAGGAATGTGTCATCTTGTATGGAGGACAGCATGGATGCGGTGTTCAGTGTTCATCTCCATCCTCTTGGCTGACCCTCAGGTACCACAAGGCTCAGTCATAGTTGTTCAGTTGACTGCTCTGTGTGCTGAAGGCTTGTGTTAGAGTTGAGTCAGATTCTGCGTCCCATTTGCTGTGATGAGCCACAACACCAGTCTATCGATGATACTATTGCTAATGCTGGTGACGTTACTGGTGACAAATGATAATTCAGAACGTTCATGAAAAGATGTTTATTTTGGAGCAAAAATTTTTGAACTCAATGCATAGTTGTTTTATAAACTATATATTCTATGAGCATTTTGAAGATTTAAAAAAGCTTACCATGAGGCAAGCTCTGTACTAATGATTTCACTTTTTTTTTTTTTTTTTTTTTTTTTTGACAGGCAGAGTGGACAGGGAGAGAGAGAGAGACAGAGAGAAGGGTCTTCCTTTGCCGTTGGTTCACCCTCCAATGGCCGCCACGGCTGGCACACTGCGGCTGGCGCACCGTGCTGATCCGATGGCAGGAGCCAGGTGCTTCTCCTGGTCTCCCATGGGGTGCAGGGCCCAAGCACTTGGGCCATCCTCCACTGTCCTCCCTGGCCACAGCAGAGAGCTGGCCTGGAAGAGGGGCAACCGGGACAGAATCTGGCACCCCGACCGGGACTAGAACCCGGTGTGCCGGCGCTGCAAGGTGGAGGATTAGCCTAGTGAGCCACGGCGCCTGCCAATTTCACATTTTTTAAGAAAAATTTCTTAACAGCACTGGTATTTGGTGCTCACAAAGGGAGTGATTGAGACAGGAAACGCATGAAATAAGCTCCAAATCAGTCCCATGCCTCTCCCTGGAGAAGGGTTGAAGACACAGTGCAGGGAGGAAAACCCAGACACACTGGATGATTAAGATCACTCATTTTAACTTAAAATGTGGTCGGAGAGGCAAGCAGCAACAATGCAGCTGACCTTTAACCCTTCCTGACCCTCCACTTTCCTGTTCTACACTGCACGGATTGGGGGCTGAGCCTTTCTGCCTTCGTTTTCCTTTTCTTATTTTTTTTTTTTTTCAGAATGAATAATAATCAGTGCTTGATTGTTAAGGTAATGTTATATTGCTTTTGAAGTTGCCTTGGTAACTGTCACCACAGAACAATTGAGCTGTTATCTGGAAAACTATTTCTTAGAAATGTGGAGGAGGTTAGGACCTGGGTTTTGTCTAAATAACCATCTTTGTTATTTGTGACTTTGAAATGAAGAGGACATCAGAAGTAGTGGGTTCATTCAGTAATAGATAAATATACCTTAATGTCCATAGTCTTCATTATAAGGGGGGGAAAGTATATATTATTAAGGTGAGGGTGACACATTGTACCATTAACATAGATTTACAGATAATTATATATTCTTAAACTGTTAAGTTCCTCTATAGAAATTTCAGAAATAGCTTAACAAATGCTAACTGCCTGCTAGAGTTAAAATCTCTCTCTCTCTCCCTCTTTTTTTTTTTTTTTTTTTTGTATAAACCGTGATTAATGATGTATGCCCAAGGGCCACTCATTATTCCAGTGGCTGCTGGTGAGATGTACCTTGTATTGTGCCTTTTTGTAATAAGGATGAGGTCTGTATTTCTGACTGGATTTTATTTCATTTATAGTATTTCCCTTCCACAAAATAATAAATATGTTTACTGTACTGTTGATGACCAGCTAGTCACATAAAATGAAATTAAGCTGCTTTTCATGGACTTTTCATTGGGTCGATTTGACCTGGCAATAAAATTTAAGGCTTATTAGGTGTTTATATCTTCTGCTGATTTGGCAGCACCGCAAGCTACCACACAAGGGCTTGCTCTGCTTGGTTGTGAAGTATGTTGCCACTTTGCTTGAAGGTACCCAGGTGCTAATGTTAGCTCTCAGTATATCAAGGATAGAGCTATTTTTAAACACTGCCGTAATAATGTTTTCAAATGACATCCACAATATGTTTTCCTATAAACTCCAAATATTAATTCAGATGAAATAGCCTTAATGACTTTAACTATAAGTTTAACTATAAAATATACTGTTACCACTATGTTTGTAGCCTTTCAGATACTTTAGTGTATGTGTTAAAGATTTTTTTTTTTTAGCTTAACAATTGGACATTTTATTTCTGGCTGAAAGGGGAAATAATTTATGTTTTTGCATCTTGACATTCTAGTTTGATTGTATTATCATTGGAACATGTTTGCAGCATTACTACTTATACGAAAATAATATTTCTCAAGAAATCCAGAAACATAAGGAAAATGGGAGTTTAAAATAAGTTTATCCTATGATTCCCAACTTTTTGGACTCCCTGAACGTGTTACAGCTCATACATGAGAATTCATCCCTAAATACTAAGAGTATTAACACTAACTGCTGAGGATAATTGTATCAATATTTTTAAAGAATTGAGCCATTGGTATAATCATCTATCTGTGCGTTTATCATAAACACAACTCTACCTAATCTGTTACTTTTTCTGTTCTTAAAGTACACAAAGCAAACATAGCCATGCCATGATGGAATCATTTTTATGTGCCTTATATCCTTTATCTTCCAGTCCAACTCTCAGTAGGCACATACTAGCATGTTAATATGAATAAGCTATCTGGGAAACAAGAAGATACTAAGTGAAAGCAAACTGACCCTAAAAAGCCTGCAGATTATTCAAGGGAAACTCTTTATGACTTATCTGAGAGGTCCATGGACAGAGCTGTTACCTTACCTGTCAAACCAGTAGGCTTGGGTGATAGGCACAAAGGGTCTGTTTTGTCTTAGCCATCTCAAGTAAGCTTACGCAATCTTTTGTTCTTTCTCCATTCATTTCTTATCTATTCCTCAAAGTGTCCTCTTTAATTGACCTTATTGTCAGCAACCTCTTTTCAGAGAGGTACCCTGTTGCTAAAGGAGTTTGTAGACACTCCTAAAGAAAGTGATCTCCAGTAAGAAATTCACCCTGCTTGCTTAATGCTGCCTTATTGGGGCCAGCTCAGTGTGTGCTATCCGTGTAATGCATAAATTCTGGCTGGAGTCTGACCACTTTGTAACACTTCACAAGGCTCCTTGAAAGTCACTGGGCTTGTGTCTCCCATGCAGAGGCCATTCATATTCTGCCCTGAATAAGCTTTATACTTATTTGTTTATAAATTCTGTTTATTTCCATCAATACTAGTATTTTAAATATCTTCTAACTATAAAGTATGCCACGACTTTTAAAAAATGTATAAATGTACAGAATATAAATTGAGGAAATAAAATTGAACTCTGTTATCATAGTCTACATTGGTAAATTTTAAATTTTAAAAATACAGAAAAGGGGCTAACATTTGGTTGCAGCAATTAAGATACCACTTAGGACACCTGCGTGCTACATCCAAGCTCCTGCACTAGTCCTGGCTGTGCTCCTGATTCCATCTTCCTGCTCATGTGCTCCCTGGAAGGCTGCAGGCAAGAGTTCAAGTACTTGGGTCTCTGCCACCCATGTGGGAGACTCTTATGGAGTGCAGGGCTCCTTACAAGGTTTAGCCTTGGCTGTTATGGGCATTTGGGGATTGAACCAGTGGATGGGAGATTAATTCTCTCTTTCTCTCTCTCTCGCTCTCTCTTTTTTTTCTCTCTCTCTCTCTTCCTTGCAAATAAATTAATTTTTAAAAACAACAACAAAAAAAAACCAGACACAAATTCTAACTTGTTCTGCCTTTAATAAAACAAATATTTTGCAATTTCTAGGCTACAAGGAAGGAAAAGTTAGTATGATTTCCTTCCTTCTTTTTTTTTTTTTTTTAAATTGGAAGAATTATAGGGATCCACACACAAGGAGAGAGAGAGAGAGAGAGAGATCTTCATCTGTTTGCTCACTTCCCAGATGGCCACAATGGCCAGGGCTGAGCCAGGCTGAAACCAAGAACCAGGAACTTCTGTGTCTCCCACATGGGCAGCAGGGGTCCAAGCACTGAGGCCATTTTGTGCTGCTTTTCCCAGGCCATTAGAAGGGAGCTGGATCAGAAGTGGAGCAGCTGGGATGTGAGCCAGCATCTTTATGGGATTCTGGCATCACATGTGGTGGCTCAACCTGCTGTGCTTCAGCGCCAGCCCCATAAAGTATAAATTTAAGACACAAAGACAACATATACAATATAAGAAAGTATTTTATATATGAGGACTCATTTTTAACAGGTCAAAACTAGACAAACATCTGTCCTTATTACACCAAATGGGAAATCACCCAAATTTAAGTTAATCTGTGTCAGTCACTGTAAAAAACAGTTGACATTTAAAATATATGTTATATTTTACTAGTGCTAGTCATGTCAGAATTGAGAGACAGAATGAAGACAAGCATAGGTGAAAAGTCTGAATCTCAGCAGGGTGGTAGTTGTATATGCTCTTTCATAGGTGCATAGAAAATTCAAGGTTTAATAAAGTCCATACAGATATTGGACTGATTAGTCATCGTATAGAAAATAAAAATAGTATATGCCAAAAATGTAATTGGCCTGTAAGAAAGTTTGTTTTCTTGCTCATTGAGCAAAGTCCACCTCTGAACCTTCCTTGTATGTATCAAATTGTAAGATACAAGAAGCTATGCTCTAGTAACTAAAGAAACATTTAAGTTAGTGCAAACTAAGACTAACACACATAGCATTTTATATAACCAAGAGACTTTCAAGAACCTGTAACTAAGCTTCATATGAGCTGCATTAAACATCAAACGTGAGTCAAGAAATACTTTGAATATGTTTTGTGCCAAGCCTCTGACTAACTCGAGAGTGGCACATGACTGGAATGGATGCAGAGAAGCACAGCAAAGAATCTAAAACTTCACTGACATTGAAACCATCACCCACCTAAGATGATGCCACACTTACACTCTGACCTTAGTCTGATTTCATGCAAATCAGTGCAATTTTTAAAAAATCACCATAGAATTTAATAGCAGAGTCTTATATCATGATAGAGAAAATGTCCTGACTACAGTTCTAAATTACCTGTAATCATAACTGTAAGTTATGATCAACTCTCAAGAGTAAAGATAACCAACAGATGTCAGTACCTTCATTCCAGAGATGTTGGAATTTTTAGGCATGGGCTTTAATATAGCTATTATACCTGTCATCTATGGGGTATGTATGAGCACCACTGAAGAGATACATAAACAATAAAAAGAACTAAGAGAAGCTTTTAGAGTTGGAGATTACAGTAGGTTGGATTTTAAAAGCCACGGAATGAGCCAGAATATACTGACGATGGCAAGTGAAAGAATCGGTGAACAAGAAGACACATAGCTATTACATCTGCAGGAGGAAGACAAACCTTCAAAAACTATGAACAGTAGGTTGATAGGAAACAGTCTAATATTTATTTCATTGCTGTCTCACAAGGAGAGAAGGAAGAGATTAACAAGGAAAATATGCAAAGAAACAGTGACCAAAGATTTTTCCAAATTTGGTGAAAGGAAAATAATTATATTACAGAAGCTCAGTGAATAAATGTGTAAAACCTGTTCTGGGTCACTAATGAAAACATTGTACAACTGTAATGAACAAAATCAAAGGATTCCTAAATGGAGAGAGAACAACGTTCCTGGTTTGGAAGGACCAACGAATTAAAGAATTCAGTTCTTTCCAAACTGATCTTTAGGTTCAATGTACATCTGCTAGAAACAAATACTTTTTTTGGTTTATATTGAGGGATTTACCTTAAAATCTCTATGGAAATGCAAAAGAATTAGAATAGCTAAAACAATATTGAAAAGTGAAGAATCAAGTTGAAGGAATCACCTTATTCACTTTTAAGAGTTAATCTGTTTCTACAGTAGTCACAGAATGGCAGAGATAGAAATACTTGGATAAGTACAATGGGGTAAGGAACTCAGAGAAAGACTCAAATATGTCTAGCTGCTTCTGTTGACTGAGGTTACAGAGCTAATTCAATGGAAGAACAACTGAACTTTAGTGGCCACAACCAACCAACCCCTAAGCCTCACAGTTTATGCAAAAATTAACTCAAGTATGTCATAAATACACATATAAGCTGTTAAACTTGCAGAGAAGGATATGGGTTGGTAACTGTGCTACCTAGAGTTCACAGATAGGACACTAAAGGAAGCTTGCATAGAAGAAAACAACTGGTGTTTGTTGATACTGTTGATGTAAGTAGAGGGGTTCTCTGGTGGTGTCAGGTGTGTGTAAACAAAGGTGGGTACTCTGGGTGACCTAGCGGAGATGGAGCTCCATCAATACAGTTTGGCTGCTCCACTTCCTCTTTTTTCAGGGGCTGAAAACAGTTCATTTATTTGGGTGAAGAATTCCTCACATCCAGACCTTTCTCCTGACTGCATTCAGATGGGGCCTTCCTGATTTTCTTCTTTCTTCTCTTCTCCGGCATGTCTTTTGTGTTTCTTTTGCTCTTCAGCCAGGCAAAGGCAAGATGAAAAGCGAGGCAGCTGAAGCCCTCCTCAACCCCATGCTGCACGTGCCCCTGAAGCACCTCCAGACTGGGGAAGACCCGGCAGCAGCCCATACACTTGAAGCCATTCTCAGGGGCCACAAGCCACTCAGGTGTCCTGGCCCTGGGCTGTTCCTGCAGAGCGTGGGGCTCTGCTGGGCTGACAGCCTCGTCCCCACCATCTTGGGCTTCTACATCCAAGCTGGACTCACTCTCAGTTAGGAGTTCCCATGTAGACACATAAGAGAGGTTGTCGTCTGTAGGGAGCTTTCCTGGGAAGGTAATTTCTTCAACTCTTGCCCTCTTTGTGGGAGGCTCTGATTCTTCCTCTGTATCCTGTAAGACAGCCACTCCTCTTTTCCTTTGGACACGCATATAGTAAACCTTCATGTCTCTCTCCTTTCTCCTATGTGTTTCGGGTGTACAGGGCTCATTGGCTAAATGGAAATGAAAACAGATGTGGTGATAGGGGGACAGGGTCTCCTGTTCCTCCAAATCCTGGGGTGGAGGCATCTCAGAGGATTGAAGACAGGGGGGATCTTGTTGCAATTGATGGATTCCTAGGAAAGAAAATTTCCTATATAAGTGGAGTAAACTGTGTGACATCCATAGGTTTTAAGAGTGGCCCTGAGAATATTCCTGGGCCGGCACCATGGCTCACTAGGTTAATCCTCCGCCTGCAGCGCCGGCATCCCATATGGGTGCCGGTTCTAGTCCTGGTTGCTCCTCTTCCAGTCCAACTCTCTGCTGTGGCCTGGGAAGGCAGTAGAGGATGGCTCAGGTGCTTGTGTCCCTGCACCCACATGGGAGACCAGGAGGAAGCACCTGGCTCCTCGCTTTGGATCGGCGCAGTGTGCTGGCTGTAGCGGCCATTTGGGGAGTGAACCAATGGAAGGAAGACCTTTCTCTTTGCTTTTCTCTCTCTCACTGTCTAACTCTGTCAAAAATAAATAAATAAATTAATTAATTAATTAAAGAAGAGTGGCTCTGAGAATATGCCTGCATATGAGGCAGTGAGATAGAAGTGTCTGGAGACCTGTAGCTTCAGAGTTGTGTAGACAGGTGTCATGTGAGATGTGTACTTAGCAACCGTTCTATGTGAAGAGTGAGTGATGGGGTGTGTCTGGTGGAGGTGAACGTGTGTTCTGGTATGTATACGGTAATTGCTACTGCTTATGTGTGTGTGCATTCTCTGGTGTGACAGTACGTGTGGAAAAACGCAGCTCTGAGTATTTGCAATCATTTGAAGGGCTGAAGGCGCTGTGGATGCAGTACATAGCAGGGAGAGGGGCTGGCAATTAGAGTGAATTCTTAAGAACAAAGGGTTTCTTTTAAAAATTTTTTATTTGTTCGAAAGCATTTCAGAGAGAGATGGGGGGGAGAGAGAGAAAGAGAAAGAGAAAGAGAAAGAGAAAGAGAGAAAGAGAAAGAGATTTTCCTCTGTTGCTTCACTCCCAAAATGGCCACGGTTGCCAGGACTAGATCAGGCCAAAGCCAGGAGCCTGGAACTCCATCCAGACTCCCCTGTGGGTAGCAGGGTCCCAAGCACTTGGGCCAACTTCTACTGATTTCCCAGGCACATTAGCAGAGAGCTGGATTGGAAGTGGAACAGCCAGGATTTGAGTTTGCACCCATATGGGATGCCGGAGTCACAGGCAGCGGCTTATCCCACTACACCACAGTGTCAGTCCCCAGAGGGCTTTTCCTGAGCTGTTTCTAGCCTTAAGGAGTTCAGATTATCTGTATGAAGGAATGTGAAATATTTCTGGGATTAGTTAATAAACGAGTAGGTCTGAAAGACTGTGTACAGGAATGAAGGTTTAAGTGTGTATTGGTGTCATGCTACTAGAGAATGGAAAAGATGGATGGGGAGTGAAGGGAGGTATGTTTGAGAGAGGGAGGCTTTGAAATGAAGCTGTGAAGTGGTAGGACAGGTGAGGGAGGGTACGTGAATATGTTTTTATGCCAGTCTGCCTAGGATGTTCTCATCAACTTTCCATACATGTCAGCTCTGCTGATGGCCTCAGTCACAGCTGTCCCAGTACTCCGCTGTGGCAAAACAGGTCTGTGTCCGGTGTTTGGAGACATAGAACCTCTCTCTCTCTCTGTAGAGACCCCAGTTTAGTCCCTCTGCCCTAAAGTGCTTTCTTGTTTTTGAGAGGTTTTTTTTTTTTTTTGGTTTTAGCCGATAAGTAAGGGCTGGGCAGAGCAGCTCCCTTGCGCGTCCTGAGTTCAGACATTCCCTTTGCATCTGCCTTACCATCATTTTCAACAAGAATGTGTTTGCTTGGAGAGGAGACACAGGAGAAATACGCTGAGGTAGAAGAGCTCTGTCCTGCTGCCTGGCTACAGGTTGGGACCACGATACGTGTCCCAGGAGCATCTGCTTGAGACTTCCGGAATTCTGGGGAACAAAATGACAGAACAACAACATTGGGATACAGAATCATGTGGAGTTTTCATCTTTTCAGAGAAGAGCATGTTGAGTGGATATTTTATTGTGGGCATTGTGACCACTCACTAGACTTGCTCTTACAGGAATTATAAGTAAACAACAGTTATTAAGATTACATTTATGGTGGACATCGGTAGGCTTGGGCATCCTGTATGTGATGTTTTGGGAAGTATATTGAGAATGTTGGAAACTATGAACCTTGCATAAAATGCGGAATGCAGTCATTAAAGATCTTAAAATTTTATGACTCAATTTTCCTTATGATAAGTTATACAAATTAGCCCGTGACATACAGTTTTTGTTGTAATTACTCATGTTGACCTTCTTGTGTGTAAGAGAAAGAGAGAGACACAGTATAGATAATAGGCAGGTATGTAGGTAGATAAAATTCTGAGGTTTTTTGACCTTCATATTCACATATTTAGTAGCCTTTTCCAAGCAGACATGAAAAATGTACATGGTGCAGTTCTCTCCATTCTGCTCCTGGACCTCCGTTGTCAGAATTCTGCAAACCCCAAGACTTGTGAGAGCTGATGAGTTCTGACCTTGAGTCAGGGGCTCAGTGGGGTCTCTGGTGCTGGCTCCAGGATGCACATCTTAGCATAGGCCACAAATTCCCTATCAGGTTCCTGCTTACTCTTCACTAGGCTGTCCAGTTATGTTACTTTCTTAGTATACCTTGCCCACACATGGCCTTAACTAATTTTTCCCCCTCTTCAACACAAAATTAGCCGATCCTAGAGATTTCCATGTTACTACTACATCCTGAGTAGGTTTTTTTCCCTACTAGAATTTTGTAAAATTTTAAAATAAATTTACCTCCACCCATGGATTTAAACATACTATGAAAATTCCTAAGTTATTTTTTTTTAAATTCTCTTAATCTGTTTTTCCAGTGGAGAAAGCCATACCTTTCAATTCATATACATCAATAAACACACAAATTCTATTTCCTGAAAAATAATTCATAAACATATTAAGTCCCTTCTAAAACCTCAATTAAATGTGTAAATAAACTGTACTCCTTCACATGGATCCAATTTTTATCTTCGGTCCCTGAAGAGTATCTGGTGTTTCATTTCAGAGGAGAGAGAAACAAAATTAGTATGTCTGGTATATCCGTCATAGAATGAGTTTGTCATGATTGGTAAATATAGTTTCATATATGTACACTCTGTGTATTTCACAGAATTTTTAAAGTATATTGAGTATAGCAGTGGGGCCACCATTGCATGTGAAGGTAGCATGAATATGGTGTGATTTGGTGAAAGTGAAGCATAGTTCTGTACATCTTGGAGTTTTTCATCTTTCATACATTTTAAATGTGTATGTCATATGCTATTGATGTAAAACATTTAGGTAATAGTTATTGGAATATTTGAGAATCTATGAGAATCTTTTTTTTCAGAACCACAGAGACAAACTTTTATAGATGAGCCATGTGAAAGAGGAATAAGAGAATGATTACCTGACCTCTTAGATTATGGGATTATGTGAAGGGACTAAATAACTGTAAACAGAGGAGCATCTGATGGAGTTGTGGTTGTGATAGCTTCTTGCATTGTTACTGTACAGCACAGAGCTCTACAAGAATGAGACTATTTGTGTGAGTTAGCAGATGCAATACTAAAAAAATGGTGTTCAAAGGGAGCAATTATGAGGGATGTACATGCTGTGAAATAAGGTGTGAAGATGTAAAAGTATGAGGATGTGAACTGAGGAGTGTGCCACGGTGCATAAGATAATGAGAGCAGCGATGGAGAGCAGAGGAATGAGTATTTACAGAGATGAACCCGAGAGCACATGGTGCTGAGACCATTTATTTGGGTAAGATAGGCCAAGAAGTATGTGGGTGTTTAAAAGGGAAGAAGGTTGCTCATGGCAATCATTTGAGGACCCTTTCAAGTCTCTGCCCATATTCACTTACCAGTGTACAGGATCTTTGTTGTCTTCCTGGAGGCAAGTGTAGAAACCACTGATGGCTGACTTTATACTTCAGTGTGAACCCTTACGGTTGCCAGGGACAATCCCAGAATTGCAACCCACAGAACTGAACTTCTCAGTTTCAGACTGAATGAGTCTTCCTTGTTTCTCTGACAAGTTTGTCATTCCTTCACTTCTCCATCTTCTCCTACATAGCCCTGTTCCCATGCCCTTGAACTTTTGGGTATGTGTCCTTTTTTAGATTATTCTTCAGTCTCAAGGCTTTGAGTTATATATTATATCTCAAGAGGATCTCCCAAAACTAGAAGAACTGTCCTTGCTGTGACCTGGGCATGGCCCGTATCAACTTTCTTTTCTTTGTATTAGCTGTTGGTGGGGGACCTGGACCAGATCTCAGAGCCATGCTTACATCTCCTTTTCATCACTGAATACTCCTAGGTCCTGTTTGTTCTTCTCCAGTTATGAGTTTTCATTTTCTCAGAGGTGGTACAGGAGAAACATCTTCAGATGCACATGATTTTCTCTTGTTTGTGTGAGCTATTACCTTGTGAGCTATATATCATCTTATGTCTCGTCAAGGTTACTGTTCAAGGGAAATCCAAGAGCTCTATCCTACCTGTAAACTATTCAGTCAATCTTGAGTGCTCACTGTGTGTCAAACACTCCTGCAGACTGCAAACTGAGTTCTGGCCCAAACTACAGAATGTGTGTATTTAATAATTTTTAGTTTTGTTCAGGTGATGATGGCTGTGTGATCACAGTGTGTATTTACTGTCTTTATGGAGCTGCTTGTGTTATGGGAAGTTTTCACTTATGGTTTCACATAAAGTGTAACTTAGATAAGAGATTTTCATAGGTTTTTACCTGAATGTGCATGTCATTGTGGTTAGCATATTTCACATTTGTGGAAGACTGAATAATGTCCCCCAACCAAGATGTTTATATCTTAGACCATAGAACCAGTGAATGTGACCTCATGTGGCTAAAGGGGACTTTGCAGATGCTACTCAGTTAAGGATTTTGTGATGGGGAGATAATCCTAAGTTATATTTGTTGGTCCTATATGTAATTCCAAGGATGTGTATACGAAGGAGGCAAGAATGACAAAGGCAGGAAAAGAGATGTGACAATGGAGCACGAGGCTGCACAAAGAAACAAAGGGTCTCTAAGGAGTGCAAGAAGCCACTGGAGGCAAGGCAAATTTACCACGGGGCCTCCCGAAGTATCCAGCTGTAACAATAACTTGATTTTTAACCCCAGAAGATAAATTTTGAATTTCTGACCCCAAATTCCGAAATGGAAAAAATGCCTGTTGTTTTAGACCACTAAATTTGTGGTAATTTGTAATACATATAAGAGGAAATAAGAAAAATATACTAAATTTGAAATAGGCTTCTTTCTGTGTCAAAGATAGCCTCTCCTTACCTAATTCTAATTTTCTGCTTCAGAGTTGCTTTTGAGTCAGTGGCTTTACTCTTTGAGCGAGAGAGAGTGAGTTTACAATACTTCTATTTCCAACCTTACATGTTCTTGTAATCTAGTACTTTAATTATACCTGTTGTATCAGTTGTGAATAAGTGGTTTCTATTTTTGGTAATTAAATCATCAAATCCTATTCATATTCTGTAACATACTTAACAATTTCTAAGCACAAAATGTGTCCCTGATTATCATTGCTTCTGTGATTAGTTTAAAATTTCAAATCGATTCTTTTCCATTAGTGTTTTCTACATTATTTTATTTCCTATTTTTTAAGTGTCTTTATTTAACCATATTCTTGTGGATTGCGTCTGCTCTTTGTCTTCAGCACATCATTCTCTCCAGTAGCCATTAGGTAGGGATCAGTGAATGCCATGGAATAACAGAGTGCCTGCAGGTCTGCTGACCACCACGGCACTGATCTGCCTAGCCTTGGCTATCCTGCCTACCCCTTACCAGCACGAGTGGGCATTGACAAAGTGGAGTGGCAGGTATAATATTCTGATTCAGAGGCTATGTCTTTTGCCTTGTGGACCAGGGTCTTGTCCTCCAAAGAGTACTCAGGTTGTGGAGCACATTTGTGGAAGGCTTCAATTCCTAGAAAACAGAGCAAAGGTCATTGATACACAGTTGATGTCTATTTTATCATTTTCAATCTGTCATATATTATTAATTACATATGCTGAGCTCAGAGAACAGACATGGCTCACAAGCTCAGCGAAAATCAAGTATTGAGCCTGCTAAAATCCATAATATTCACATCTACAGAGATATCGGTGGCATTATTGGATGCCAGAGTCTGGATTAGAATTTATCTGTTTGAATTGGACTGCATGCCATCCATTAATGCTTTAATCTGGAAGGTGTCAGAATTTATGAGGGAACACTGCTATTGTACACTGCCCCAAAATAGTACTTGATAGCTTTATTTTTTTTTTATTTGACAGATAGTGAGAGAGAGAGATAGAAAGATCTTCCTTCCGTTGGTTCACCTCCCAAATGGCTGCTATAGCTGGAGCTACGCCGATCTGAAGCCACAAGCCAGGTGCTTCTTCGTAGTCTCCCATTGCGGGTGCAGACACCCAAGTACTTGGGCCATCCTCCACTGCCCTCCTGGGTCAGAGCAGAGGACTGGAAGAGGAGCAACCAAGACTAGAACCAGCACCCATATGGGATGCTGGCACTGGAGGCGGAGGATTAACCTAGTGAGCCACAGCGCCATCCCCTTGATAGCTTTAGTTCTGTCTCTAGGTTGATGACTAGTCTTTATGGATCTGCTTGTGGTGTGTGAATTAGACTTCCGGTGTCATAAAGACTGTAGTCAGCATAAGAAATTTTAATATTCATTTATCTGACTGCATCTATCAAGGTGTTTAACATTTTTCACAATAGTTTTGAAAGGTTGAAGTTATGCTACCTACCCAAGGTATCAATATCTTAATCCCTACATCCTAGGAATGTTCCCTTGTATACAGAGAGGTACTTTGCAGATGTTAACACATGAAGGATTTTGTGATGGGGAGATCATCCTGCATCATGTAGTTGGGTTCTAAATGTAATTGCAAGGATACTTAGAAGAGGGAGGCAAGAAGGTCAGATGCAGGAGATGAAAACTGACAGTAGAAGCAACAAGTGTCAGTTAAGAAATCAGAAAAAATCTGCAAATCAGAGTGCAAGAAGCCAGTCAAAGCAAGGAACATTGTCCACTGGAGTCTCTAGAAGGGGACAGCCTGCAAACACCTTGGTGTTTTTTTTATTAGATTTATTTTATATTTATTTGAAAGAATTAGAGAGGTAGAGACAGAGAGGTCTTCCATCCGCTGGTTCACTCCCCAGATGGCCATAACGGCCAGAGCTGCGCCAATCTGAAGGCAGGAGCCAGGAGCTTCTTCCGGGTCTCCCACGTGGGTGCAGGGGCCCAAGGACTTGGGCCATCTTCTACTGCTTTCCCAGGCCATATCAGAGAGCTGGATTGGAAGAGGAGCAACTGGGACTAGAACCAGTGCCCATATAGGATGCTGGTGCTGCAGGCCAGGGCTTTAACCTGCTGTACCACAGCGCTGGCCCCTACACCTTGGTTTTTAGCCACATCACATATATTTTGAATTTCTGACTTCCACAGGAATGTAGGAGAATAAATCTGTGCTGTTTTAGATCACTTAGTTTGTGGTAATTTATAACAATATCTAACAGGTAAATACACTAAATTTGAAGTCACATTCTTTCCTTCTCATGGTTGGATCCTAAGCCATAGTATGAGCATAGAATGCTTCAAGTTTCAATCACCATCTTTCATTTTATGGTCATCTAATGCTTTAATTACATCTATTTTATCAGTTCTGAATTTTTGACTATTATTTTGGTACCTAAATCCTCCAAGCCTTTGTATAGTCAGTCACATACTTGCTATTGTCATATCTTAGAATTTGTTCTTGATTGTTATTTCCTCTGTGTTTAATTTTTATGAATAGATGATTTCCACTAGTGGTTTATACATACTTCTTTCCTATTATTTTAAATTTTTATCTTCAATGTCTTCATTTAGCCATATTCTTGTTGATTGTGACTGCTCTTTTTCTTTGCTATCTCCCTGGTTTCTGTGATAGCCATTGAACAGCTTAGTGGCTGTAGGTCTGCTCACCTTCCCCCTGCACTGATCTGCCTGGCCTTGGCGGTCCTGCCTTCCCCTTACCAGCATGAGGGTGCTTGTGCAAAGTGGACTGGCAGGTGTGGTATTCTGATTGGGAGGATGTCTCTCTTGCCTCATGGACCAGGATCTTCTCTTCCAAAGAGTACCCGGCTTGTGGAGGACGTGTTTGTGCAGTGGAGACTCCTGAGAAATAGAACAAAGGTCATTGATACGGATGTGAAGTTTGGTTCATTCATTTGTTCATCCTCCATATATTCTAAATGTAATCTTCTGAACTCGGAGAACAGACGTGGTCCACAAACTCACAGGAACTAGTCTTGATTTTGGTAAAATTTATAACATGCATGCCCACAGAGACATCTGTCTTATCCTTGGCTGTTGGAGCGTGTGCTAGACTTCTCCCGTTTGGACTGAACTATGTGCTGTCCACTAATGTTGTGTTCCTGGTGGTGTCAGATTTCATGAGGGAACGTGACTGCCAATGTCCATTATTTTGCCAAATTTGTTTTCTTGAGTCTACTCACATGGATCTTTGATTATCTGAGTCCAGTTCTTTGTTTCCAGAGCCCAGTTCCATACATGGAGAAACCAACACTGAGGAAACTAAATTCCCATGTAGGGACCCGTACTTTCAACTAAAACGTCTGCTTCCTTTCAGATCCTTCACTTCACTCTCCCCCAGACCCCATACTCCCCCACCCCTGCTATATATTTTGTCTTGAGCAATTCTCTCTAGCTTCGGCTGGGAGCTGGTGCACTTTAGCTGTCTTTGTTTTGAGGTTCCTGCTACCCACCAACTTTGGCTAAAAGTTACCCCTGTTTGTCCTCTCCTACTTATCTCACTTTCATGCTTTGTATCTCTTACCTGGAGTTCACAGCTTTAAATGAAACTAATGGTGTATTTTTAATAATTAAGGAAAGTAAATATTTATGATTTTATGTCATCAACTCTTTAAATGTTAAACTTACCAGTGAGTATCTAACTGTTAAAAAGATCAAATTCTCCCATAAAAGTATTTCTTATATATTATGAATACATAGCAATGAATTGGTGTGTGGCAACTGTAGAGTACTTAATGTGTAAGTCCATAACTTACTTGTTCCAATCAGGTTATTCTTGAGTGTCTAATTCATTTAGTGGTTACAAATGTAAATATAGGATATGTTTTGTTGGTATGGGAATGGTGGATGTTATTCGTGTCTGTATGTTAGCTACATGCATATCTATGTGTGTCTATCTGATGTCCTATAATTATGGTTTTGTGTGTGTTGTTTTGTGATATAGTTTGACAGTACGGTGTAATTAGTAGGAATATTTTCTTTGAGATGAAAGGAATGTATTGTGTGAGTTCTGGTGGAAGAGTGAAAGAACATGAAGATTTGAGGGTGTATAAGAAAAAAATACACATACTAGGACTAGGAAATGATATAAAATAGATAAGATGTCAGTGAAGGGTATGAGATTTAATAGTTAACAACATACAATTGCATTAGAAAACGAAAGTGTGGGAGCTGACATTTAGCATAGTAGCTTAAGAAGCCCATGTCCCACATCACAGTGCCTAGAATCTATACCCACCTCCAGTTTCTGATTCCAGCTTCCTGCTAATACAGACCTTGAGAGTCAGAAATAATTCTCAAATAACTGGGCTCCTGTCCTTTTACATTATGTTCCTGGATCCTTGCAGGTATTTAGGGAGTTTGCCAGTAGGTGGAGTCTCTCTCTCTCTCTCTCTCTCTCTCTCTCTCTCTGTGTGTGTGTGTGTGTGTGTGTGTGTGTGTGTCTGTGTCTTTCTCCCTTCTGTGAAAGTATTTATGCTTCTAAAATGAATAATAAAATTAAAACTTGAGATAGAAATGGTAAAATAATTGTATGAAACATTGATTTCTGGATGGGTTAAGATAGAAATAGAGAAACTCTTTGGCTTTCATTGAACCTAAGTGTATTAGTATAGCAACATATACAGCATCAAACATCATCTCCTAGTGCGCTTCTACAATCAAAACAACTTAAGTTCTCAGCACTTGATGATTAACAAGGACATGATTTATATTCATGAAATGGGATATATGCAGCAGTGAGATGGAACAAACTTCAGTCATACGCAATGTGAATGAAAGGAGTCAGACACAAAATATTTATATAAACTTCTGTATATAAAGATAAAGCAATTCAAGGATAATGAGTCAGTAATCATACATGTTAGAGTAATTGTTACTCTTTGTCATGCACGCAGTAGAGTTTAGAGAATTCATATGCTTGTAAAAGTTGATAAGGAAGTAGAGGTGAAGACAGGAGTGGGGATAGGTCTGTATAGAGATAAGTGTGAGAATTTTGGCTACATGTAGATGACACAAGACCTCGAACAAGTGCATCTGTACAGTGTATCAAGTATATCTTGTGGTGACATTACTACTACTCTAGCTCTGTTTTCAGATAATAGTCCTTTTATGACTTCTGGACTGCAGGATGTCCTGTCTTTGTCTCAGTTATTGTTCCCAAGTGTCTCTGATGATACCATTCCCTTCAGCAGAACCTAGTTGTCCACTGATCTTCCAGGCCTAACTCCAGTTTTTTGGTTATTTATCTTTGGAATGTATAGCTTTCGCTGCTGCTAATACCAAAAGCCATGAGAGACAATTGCTATGGTTTGAATATCCATGGATTGTCTCACAGCCTCCTGGGTTGAAATTTAGCTACCATTGTGAGGCATTAAGGGGATGGAAACTTAATCTGGTTATGAAGCACAGGGATGGGAAATGATGAGGACTATATAAGGTCGTTAGGGTAGAGCCTGTGTGAGTGAATTTGGGCGGCTCTAGAAGAGGGAGACAGAAAGAGACACATCTGCTCACATGCCTGTGTGTCATTTGCCACCTGAGGCTCTGCATCACCACAGGATGCTGCCCACAGGAAGACCTTCACCAGAGGAGGTCCCGAAGACTGACTCTTCAGAGGCATCATCCAAACAAAGCTCTTCTCTTAGTAAAGTTTGGCTGCACCAGGAATTTTAGTAATGAAAAGATATAATGCAAGTGCTTTGACTTGTCATTTTTTTCTGGACTGGGTAGACTTACATCTACTCATGGGTAGTATCATTCAGCTCCTCTCTGTGCTGTGCCTGGACCCATACCTGCACCATTGAGCTTGTCTTCAGATGAGATGCAGGAGAAATAGTGTGAGGAAGAAGAAGCAGCATCCCCTGCTTTCTGGTCTGAAGCTGGGGTTGGCGCCTTTTGTTTTTGTTGCAGGACATCTTTGTATAAATTCAAATTTCCTGAGCAATTACATAAAAATAAGAGATAGGGTTTATGTATGTGCATCTATCCATCTAAACAAGCAGTAAGAGTTTGCAGTATGACAGCACTCATGAACACACATGCCGCTATCCTCATGGAGCCATAACCTGCTTCCTTCCTTTGAAAACTTTATACGTAGAGAGGTATTTGTTTATTCAGTCAGTACATGTCACAGATGCTACATTTGCAGTGTCTCATTTGTAAACAGTGCACAGACTGCTGGCAAGCCCCTGTGCACCTGTGCTTACATATTTTTACATCTGCCTCTCTTAGTGTCTTTTAACATTTCAAACTTTAAAAAAAATGTTTTCTTAATCTCTAGATATACCACATTCTTCATTCAAAGAAGGAAGGATCCGTGGAAAACTTGCAATACCATTCACTTCTCCAGTGCTTTCAGAAAGAAGTCAAATTTCAAAATTTTATGAAAACTGATCAAGTCACTGTTTCTCATAGTGTCCATTTCACTTCAACAAGTTTCCCCTTTGGTGCACAGTTAGTTGTCGCTCATCAGGGAGGAGAACATATCAATCAGCTCTTGTCCTGACAGTTGATGTACAATGTAATACTTTATCCATTTTAGTATTTTTTTTTTGTTCTAGTACCACTGGTTGAACTCTGTAATTAACACACAATTATTCTTAGGTGTTTAAATTTTAACTGAAAAGTGATCCCTGTTAGGAATTTGGAAAACATTATGCTGAGTGAAATAAGCCAATCCCAAAGGGACAAATACCATATGTTCTCCCTGATCAGTGACAACTAACCGAGCACCAAAAAGGAAACCTGTTAAAGTGAAATGAACACTATGAAAAATGGTGACTTGATCAGCCCTCACCCTGACTGTTGATGAGTAACTTAATATGTTATCCCTCTTAGTATTTTTTTTGTTTGTTCTACTTAATACTTTTGGTTGAATACTGTAATCAATACACAATTCTTCTTAAGTGCTGAAACTTAACTGAAAAGTGATCGCTGTTAAATATAAGAGTGGGAATAAGAGAGGGAAGAGATGTGCAATTCGGGACATGCTCAAGCTGACTTACCTCAAACAGTAGAGTTAGAAACATACCAGGGGATTCGAATTCAATCCCATCAAGGTGGCATGTACCAATGCCATCTCACTAGTCCCAGTGATCAATTTCTGTTCACAGTTGATCATAATGATAGGACTAAGAGCCAAAGGGAGCAAATAAACAAGACTAGTGTCTGCAAATACTAGTTGATAGAACAAAAAAAGGGAGAGAACGATCCAACATGGGAAGTGAGATACACTTAAATATGATCAGAGTTGGTGAACTCAGGGGGCTTCCATAGCCTTGGCAGCTCATGACAAGAGCCTAGGGTGATTACTGAGGCCATAAACAAGAGTGTCAATTTGTTAAGTCAACAACAGGAGTCACTGTGCACTTACTCCTCATGTAGGATCTCTGTCCTTAGTGTGCTGTACATTGAGATTTAATGCTATACTAGTACTCAACAGTATTTTTCACTTTATGTTTCTGTGTGGAGCAAACTGTTGAAATCTTTACTTAATGTATGCTAAACTGATCTTTCTTGTATATAAGAAGAATCGAAAATGAATCTTGATGTGAATGGAAGGAGAGAGGGAGTGGGAAAGGGGAGGGTTGCGGGTGGGAGGGACTTTATGGGGGGGGAAGCCATTATAATCCATAAGTTGTACTTTGGAAATTTATATTCATTAAATAAAAGTTAAAAATAAAAAAAAATTATGAAAACTTAGTGCACACTGGCAAGTCACTGTGTCTGACAAAGTGACTCTGTGTTTCACTGTGTAGGTAGCAGAAGCCCTAAACTGCATAGACGAAGACCTGTATCACCTGAACTCTCTGTGTTCTCAGAGACCTGGATGTTCAGGAAGCCTCCACACACAGCTCTGCTATCTCCCACCACCCTCCCTCCTCTCCCTTTCTCTGTCTCTCCTCCTCTTACTCCACCCCTTCCCCAACTAGAAATCGTCCCTTCCTCCTGTTTAGAAGACAGTGCCTGGCTACCTTGGATCTAGAGAACATCCTAAGACATACCTCTTGATATCTTTGCAGCTTGGGGAGAGTATGTGATTTCCAGATGTTTTGTCTTTTGTTTCCGCTTCATGGTTGAACTCCTTGGAGAGTTACTCAAAACAGGCACTTTCCTCCCTGCATCTCTGCTCTCCAGGAGTTAAGTCAGTGGTGATCAAGAATGGGATTTGAACATTAAAGAACCAAATCACATAGGACGCTCTCTACCAAATCACTGAGCTGCCTAGTGCTCAGTTCAACATTGAGTCTCCTGTGTCACAAGTCATCACTACGGCCTCTGAAGCATTTATGACCTATTGATGACATCAGCCTATTCTAGACTCAGCGGGCGCCTCAGGACTGCAGGACTGATATAGCCCCCATTGCCTAGGGTGTTTTTTGTTTTGTTTTGTTTTTTTAAAAGTTTATCTATCTGTTTTACTTGCAATGCTAGGTGATACAGAGAGGCTGATAAAAAGGGAGATCTTGGTTCAATTCACAAATGCCTTGAAAAGATGGGGCTGGTCACACCCAGGGTAGGAGTTGGGAATTCCACTGGGGTCTCACAGGTGGGTGGCAGGGAATCAAGTACTTTAGCTGTCGTCTGCCTTTCTGGAGTTCATATTAGAGAGAAGGTGGCTATGCCAGCTCCCTGCTGATGCACTCTGGAGAGCAGAAGGTGATGGCTCAAGTTCTTGTAGCCCTTCCATCCATCCACATGGGAGACTCAGCTGGAGTTTCAGGCTCCTAGTTTCTGCCTGGCCCAACCAGATCCATTACCATCACTTGGGAAGTGAACCAGTAGATGAACAATCTCTCTCTCTCTCTCTCTCCTTCTCCTTCTCTTTCTCTCTCTCTTTCTCTCTTTCTCTCCTTCTCCTCCTTCTCCTCCTCCTCCTCCTCTTTCTCTCTCTCTTTCTCTTTCTCTTTCTCTCTTTCTCTTTCTCTTTCTCTCTTTCTCTTTCTCTTTCTCTTTCTCTTTCTCTTTCTCTTTCTCTTTCTCTTTCTCTCTCCCCCCACACTGCTTTTCAAATAAATAAATAAACCTTAAAAAAAAAACTTAAGAAAGAAAGTGGATGTGAGGCAGAGTTAGGAATGGATCCCAGGCTCTCTGATATGGAATGTGGGTATCCCAAGCAGAGGTAGGACCTGCTTATCCCTGACATCATCCTTTGAGTATTTTATTTTATTCAGTGGAAAGTCTATCATTAACTTAATTTTTAAAATAATGCATTTGATACCAAAACTAGAATTAGATGCCTTAGATTAAAAAGAAATTACGTGATGCATCTGGGGATACACTATTACTAAGTCTCCCCAGTGGTGAGGATGTGGCAGTGCAAAAGAGGATAGGAAGGCAGGCGTTATGGCACAGCGGGATAAGCCAACATTGTGACACCAGCATCCCATGTCAGATTGCAAGTTCCAGACCTGGCTATTCCACTTCTGGTCAAGCTTCCTGCTGATGCACCTGGGAAGTCAGAGGATGGTGGTCCAAATACTTGGATCCTTGATACCCATGTGGGAGGCCTGGATGGAATTCCTGAACCCTATCCTCCAGTTGGTCCATCCCTGGCTTTTATGAGTGTTGGAGGAGTGAACTAGTGGATGGAAAATCTCAAATCTATCCCCCCCAATCACTCTGATTTTCAAATAAATAACCCTTTTTTTTAAACAAAAGAGGATTAGGCTTAGAGCCATGCTTGTCTCATAAAAAATAGTAAATGGATATCTTGCTAGTGGAACTGTTTAACTTATATCCAAACATAAGTACAATATTTAAAGAGCCTGGGATCCATTCCTAACTCTACCTCACATCCACTTTCTTATGTTTTTTTTTTATGGTTTATTTATTTATTTGAAAAGCAATGTGGGGGGAGAGAGAAAGAGAAAGAGAGAAAGAGAAGGAGAAGGAGAAGGAGAAAGAGAGAGAGAGGAGGAGGAGGAGGAGCAGAAGGAGAAGGAGAAGAAGGAGAAGGAGAGAGAGAGAGAACCTTTCTAAAGTCCAGTTACCCAGGTTGGACTTTATACATTGTGTGCTTATAAGAGATATCAAATAGTACACCCAAAATATGTATAGTTTTCATATGTCTGTTTATAATCGAATTCTAAATTTTGAAAATGATAGCATGTAAGTGTAGATTTGAGAACATCTCGTGTATGTACATGTTTGCCGAGCTTATCTCACCACAGGCAGGTCCCATGCATCTTCACAGTGAGACCTGCCTCTGTCACAACTCCTGCTCCACATTTCCTAGTGGTTTGGGAGAAGAGATCATCATGCGCTGTACAATCCTCAGCCATTCTGGGAATTCTGCTCTCACACTGACAATCTTGCCTTCCAGGCTTCTGTTCTAAGCCTGAATCCATGTCTTCTGAAAATATCTGTGTTGTATATGTGGTTGGAACCGTGGGGCGACTTGTTTCTATCTTGCATCCAGAAGAGAATGCATGTTGTCGTTGAGAGGCATTTGTTTGCTTCCCACCTTAGCAAGTACCATGGCCTCACCTCTTTAACCTCCTGTACCCCCGGTGGATTTGCCCTGGGTGTTTCCCTCACCTCCATGACTGCTGAATGAGCACATGTGAAAAGAAGCTTTCACTCTCATTTACCGTAAGTAAGGTAAAACATACTCTTGCACATTTCAAACTTGTGAAAATGGAGGGTCAGACTATACCAAATAATTGCAAGAATCTGGGTAAGAAAAGGAATCTCCATGAACTAAAATTTAGGTTGAATCCGTGTATTCATATTGCAAAACATTTAGAGAACCTTTCTAAAGTATGCATACAAACTATGACTCTGTTATCTCAGTCCATAAAAAGTTTTTCATTGAATTATTTATGATACCAAGGAGATAGAATTTCAGTTTTCAGCTGAATTGAATGCATAAAGAAATTAATACTGGGTACAACCTAAAGAAGTCATTTCTAAGAATAGAGATCAAGCCCGCTGAAGTCTAGGCTTATGAGAAGCAACATGAGGAAGAACTGGAACTCAGGAATGACGCAGGAGATAGAAGAGAAAGAAGTAACCGCACGTGGTTCCTTGGATGGGCTAATGACTGGGTGCGTTATTAACTCAGTTCTCTAATTTTAGAAGAAGGGAAAATAGTCTTGCAGCAAAGTGACACTGATCCACGTTAGGGCTGGAAATAAGAGTAAGTGTTCTTGCTGTGCTTGTTTTCTGTCACTGCTATCGCAGTTGACCACAAACTTTGTGGCTTAAAAACCAATCTGAAGATACAGACGTGTTACAGATTTGGAGATAAGAAGTCCAATACAGGTGTGAAGGCCTGAGGTCAAGATGTGGCCAGGGCTTGTCCTGCCTGGTGGCTCTCGAGTAGAATCCGTGTTTGTCCATCCCAGATTCCAAAGGCTGCCTACAGAATCGGCTCCTGCTCAGTCATCTCTGAAGGTGTCACTCCAGCATCCAGTACCCTTGCAACACCTTCACTCTGACTGGCACCGTCTCTGCTGTCAGTCATGAAGGCCCCTGTGAGTACATTGTCCTCACCCAGACCACCTAGGGCAATCTTCCCAGTTCAAAATCTTTGAGTTAATCCCATCGCAGAAGTCTCTTTTGCCATATTTAATAACATGCTTGCAGGATTTGGGGGAGAAAGGTGCGTATTTTCATCCCACAAAATAAAAAAAAAATTAGAGAATTGAACTATAGCAAAAGATAGTAATCTGAGAAAAGAAATCCGACATTAAACAAAAACAGTCGGAAAATGCATACAACCATATGAAAATATTAAAAAAGCAAAATGAAATATTTTCAATTAAATGTAACCAGAGGATGGACTGGTGCTGTGACTCAGTAGGTTAATCCTCCGCCTGCAGCGCTGGCATCCCATATGGGCACCTGTTCATGTCCTGGCTCCTCCTCTCCCAATCCATCTCTCTGCTGTGACCTGGGAAAGCAGCCGAAGTTGGCTCAAGCACTTGGGCCCCTTCCCCCCAAGTGGGAGAGTTGGAAGAAGCTCCCGACTCCTAGCTCCAGATGGGCTCAGCTTTGGCCATTGTGGCCATTTGGGGAGTGAACCAGTGGATGGAAGAACTTTGTCTCTGTCTCTCCCTCTCACTGTATATAGCTCTACCTCTCAAATAAGTCAATAAAATCTGTTCAACCAAATGTAACTAGAGGAATAGAATAAATAAACCAGAACTGTAGGATGATAAAAAAAATTGATTCAAAGAAATAATAGTGGAAAGTTTAGATGAGAAAAATAAAGGTTCTGTAAAAGTTAATAATATAATAAATAAGTTAATTAGAAGAAAATATAAGCATTAAATCTTAAAATACCTTGGCTTAAATATCTTAAATATGTATGACTTTGAGTACGTTTGGGCTTCCAGGACTTCAAGCACCAGTCTCCATCATTGTTCCCAGAGTGTTTCTTACTTATATGTCTTCCTGCATGACCCAGCAGTCTCTAAATTTCTGTGGTAACACTACATGTTTCTCCTCTTTATTTGCTTTTGACACTAAAGGCACCGTGCACACAAGAAAACTGCTGATACATTCGATTTCTTAAAAAATTCAGGCTCTTTGCTTAAGACTCTGTGATGAAGATGAACAATAAGCCACTAACTGGGGAGAAGTAACTGCATATTGCCTCTTTGAAAAATAAATCACATCCAGGACATATGAAGGACTCTAAGCAACAATAAAACTGGAACTTTATAATGAGCAAAACCTTTAAACAGCTCCTTCATAAAAGAAGATAGACAAGTGACAAGCAAATGGAAAGGTGTTGGTAAATGCAAATTAAAACCACCATGACATCCCATAGCATAGCTATTAAAACAGCTTAAAAAAAGTCAGTAAACACCTCTCTTATTAAATGCTAATGAAATGCAAGGAAACTGAATTTCTCATTCACCCATGGGAATACAATGCTTTGGCTCCTATGGGAGTCAGTCTGTTGTTTCTTTCCTTTTTAAAATTTTTTATTAATATAAAGAGAATAGATTTCATGTATTTCATATGTAAAATTCCAAAAAGATAACTGTACTTCCTTCCTTCCCTTTTTACCTTCCTCATTCCTCCTCTTTCCTTCTGTTCTTTTGTTCTTTAATTTTTGCAAAAACATGATTTAGTCCACTGTATAGTCCCAGGCTTAATGCACCACTAACCATAATTTCAACAAGTAAAAAGTAGAAAAACACCAGTTAAACAGGATAAACAAAGGCTGAAAACAGCAATCAAATCACAAGATGACCACTGAGTTCCTGTATTTTTGTTTGTTTTCTACATTAACTGCCATGAGTCAGAGAAAATAC